ACTAACAATCATACAAAAGTAAAAAGTATTAAAAAAATAATGCAGATTTAAAATTTCAATAGATAAAAGTAAACAATTTTATGTTTATTTGTCTCCAATTTAAGATACTAAAACATATATAGTTACAATCTTATAATTGTCAATAGATCATTACGTCGTATAATTGTGTAGAATTGAAATTCAGGAAAGGCGCTAAGATTGAAGATCCTTTTTCACTCTCAACAATATTAACACACTTGTAAATGCAGATGTCGTTTCAGATTTCATGAAGGAAACGTCGACGTGGAAATCAGCTGCATCTCATTTCATGAACATCTATAAGCCATTATATCGAGAATATACGCCCGTCTCGGTTTATGCAGTGTGCAATTCGCGCATAACGATATTTCGTCGTTGACCTTAGCAAGGATCAAGAAATGTTGAGAAACGCAGAGGTCAAATTCTTTGTTGTACCTACACAAAAGGCAAACCTGGAATTGCTAGGACGACGCCAGTGGGCGAATTTATTTATAGCTTATTTAAGAGCAATTCATTTTGAAAACAGACAAAAAGAGAACAATTATAATATATTAATGGAAACTGAGTGTTTGTAGATTTTAAAATCGAGCAGATTGGAATTTTCACCATTTTTAAATAGAAGTCTGCGTGCTGCTAGAAATGTACGTGGGTGCACGTTGAGAATGCTCATTCATAGACAACGAAATTTCCCAAGCATTTCTAATCATTTATTGAATGGTTAAAGATGTTCCTACTATTGAAGACATCGCTTATATAAATCACATATGAAAAGTAAATAAACTGTGTTGTAATAATAAAAATAGGTTTTTCTGACTTAAATCAAGTCTTATCTTTAATTGATTATAATTATAAAAACAGTAAGACTTCATTTAGCGCTAAACGAAACAGCGTAATTTGTCGCATTCTTTCTCTTTCATTAAGCAAATGATAACACAGGCGATCACACCCAAATTTCCTCTTCTTGCTTTTGCACTGCTATCGAAATGTGGATCATGTAACGATTTCAGTTATCGTTTTTAAACTTTTTCTAAGAAAATCTGTAGTATGTTCTTTTGCTTCATCGTCTTCAGAATCAATATTTTCCCGTTGTTTTTAAAGGTCGTCGTTGGTAAGACCCTCACCAGAAACCTGCAGTAACTCCTTAATATACCAATCAATGAAATGCTGCGATAATTTGAATCTGGGTAAATTTTGAGCAAACAGCAAAATGCGTTAAAGCAATCAGCGTTAATCGAGGCAGTGCTAAATGACGTCTTATTTTATATAAAAAAAGGCATTATTTCATCAATCATTCAACACTTTCATTGTTTCTTTGAGAAACATGATTGAATGTATTGTTAGAAACAGATCATAAATGTATTACTAATAATACATGCTATCTGCAGCAGACTTCTCAAAATCGATTACGCATTCGGTAATCCAAGATAATTAGTGAATGCCGGATTTGAGCTCGGCACGCCCTTTCAATTCTGCAATGCCCGAGGACGCTTAATCGCCGAAGCAAGAAAAAAACAGAAGAAGAAATAAGCATAATACACTTCAACTTTCACACCACTCTTTTATATATACGTACGATAGTTACATAATGCAATCATGTTTATTTTTACACTCTTATATAGAATTCGGCCAAAGCAATCTCAGTAACAAACCGAATGTAGAAGTTTATAATGATTGAATAATTCTGCAATAACCAATAAAAAGTTGTTTTCTTTGTTAATCATATAGACACTAGAAAAATTAATTCAGTACTATTGTAATTAGCAAATAATTAATATTGATTAAAGTTTCTTTCTTTCTTAGTCTACAAATTTGAATGAATTCAAATTTTATTTGCAAGTCAAGTATCTTAAACTTTAAAATCTGTTACCAGCATAAATGATCTGTCAAATAATTTAACAAAACAAATATTTGTATGTCAATTTTTTTTTAACTTTGAGGACAAAGAGATATTTTTATTATTTTTAATGAATTGAAATGAAGTTAAATTTGAAAAAAAATAAATTATTATATCAAAGTAGGTTAAACACATGTCAGTATAAAAGACCTTTGAAATGTCATTAAAAATATAATTGACGTCCAACAAATTACACATTAATTTACCGGTTCTGATAACGTTATATAATTACACACCTTACCTTCTTACCTAAATGTTTCAAGGATCACCACACGCACTGTGTCGTATCATACAAAAAAAAACAAATCAATTTATTTATAATCTGGGGCAAATTTAATTGATGAATTGCATTGCATAATCTGGCATTGCCCAGTGTCGACCTTGCGTGTCGCGAATAATCGCGGAGAGGTCAAAAATCTACCAGTCGATAGGAGGATGTAAAAATAAAGGAAAGCGATGGAAAAATGGCAATTCTTAGTTAAATGTTACTTGTTTGGTCATATTTTTTGCCGCTAAAAAATAGCCAATTTGTGAGTCATCTGTGATTTATGCAGAATATGGAAAATACAAGTCGAAGATGAGCACCGTTCCCCTTTTCTGTTATTGGTGAACTGGCTTCATATAGGAAACCTTGTATTCTTAATTTGAATAATATTCAGACACTTTCATATTTTTTGTTTGTTAATATATTATTATCTAAACAAGGTATTATTTTGATATAAACACTGCAGCAATTTGGACATTCAAATTACGATTCATTAACTTAAATGAAGTATATCATCGGATTATAAGAAAGAATATGAAATGATTGATTTTACTCAATGTTAATTGTATGCATTTAACAGATTTATAAATAAATATTTTAATTTTCTAAATAATTATGTACTTTTAGAAACAAGACTATTTTCTTGCTTTTCTAATGTTATAAGAGTGATTTGAAATTATTAAATATATAAAGACGTTACTTGTATGACAGATTTGCTACCGAGTGTCATAAAAGAAACGTTATTATTTAGATTGTAAATATTAGGTGAAGCAAAAAATTCTGAGCGTTTTTCGTTAGATGGCTTTAGTGAATCATATCTCACGATCATATCTTAGGCGACATAACGTTCTTTGATAGTTTTGTGTTTAGTGAATCCCGTTGTGTGTTAGATCGTTCCAAAATGGAGGTAAAAAAAGAGAAAATTCGATACATTCCAAAAAATGTTTTGTTTATGGACCAATTACAGTATCGAATGCAACAGCAAAACGTCTGGTAATATGGACGTCAAAGATGAGATTAAATCATGGAAATCGTTGAGTCAGACCGGAATGCGAGCACTTATTTCATTGCCCAGGAACTGAAGATTAGCCAGAAAACTGTTTGGAACATTTGCACAAGTCTGGTCTCAAGAAGAAGCTCAATGTATAGGATAAAACGCTCAGAACATTTTACTTCACCATATATGTTTTAATTGAAACAACTTTTGAAACATAAAGTAATCAATAATAAAATTGTATTATTTATATTTTAATAATTTCAAATTAAAATTGATATACATAAAATATAAACAATATATGGATAAAAAGAAATAGCAATGTCTCTTTTATAACAGCCTCTAAATATATTTAATATACTCAATTAATTTTGTAATAAAATAATAGAATAGTTATATTCTGTGCATTATATAATATTTTTAAGAAAACAACGTCTAAAAATATAGCAAGTAATAAATCTATTGAACAACACGTACAGACATATTAAATATATCTTAGTTAAACATTAAAAACTTCCTAAACACAGTTTTTCCGCTGCATTTGCGTGCGTCAGTTAACCGTTCGTGTTCTGATGCTGTAATAAATGTAACAGCTCCCACGTGTTATGCCGTATGCAAATTGCGAGCGAAAAATAAGTGTTACAATTTCACCTAGCAATGTCAATGTCAGTTCTAAATTGTTCTGCATATGAAGAGAAACATGGTTACTATGAGTATTTATTTCGCGACGCAGTGAAAGCCATTGATCGATGATCTCATTGACGATACTGATAATTGATTAATTAATGTATGCGAAGGCTTGCGCGCAAAATGCAAGTAACATTTAGGTAATTCAATGTTGCTGGCGTAGCTAGAAAGGCCATTGCGTTGCGACTTTAATTTGCGAATACAGCTCATGCATATTGACATGGATAATAAATATGTGATCGTTATATTTTAAAAGCATTTGGATTTTGAATATTTGTGTGAGTATTTAAATTATAAGTAATGGAAAACATAAAGTAAATAGATTCTCGTATGAAATTTTTTTAAAACGATTTTCAGGTAAATATTTGTTTAATTCAAACTGAATAAAATAAACTTAAAGAAGAATAAAAATTACAGTAAGATACAAGATACAATTGTACTTATTAACATTAAAGTATAGTTAACTATATGGAAACACTGTTGAGATATACAGTGGAACCTCGCATAACGAGTTTAAAGATATTCAAAAATACACATAATATGTGTACACAAATTTTATCAATGATGTAGCAGGCGCGCAATCTTGAACTTCTCTTCTCATCGTCACTCGTTATGTGAAATGTCGCTGACAAAACAAAATTTAATTTAAATTGATATGTTGCTAAACTTGTTATGATTAACTTCTGTCTTCTCAAGTTTAGTTAAAGATTTTGTAAGGATTAAATAATCAAAATGTGAAACTAAAATGGAATGAATTTCAAAGATATAACATCCTGTCCGACAACGTGGGCGACGCTATAATTAACTTAAACCATATTTGAAGTGTATTAAGAAATTATCATAAATTTACGTACTAAAATATAAAACTGTCGTCTGCGAATAAAATTGTTCTTTTGAAAATTCGAATTTCACATAATTACGTTGTGATGAAAATATTGCGCATTTCGCTGCCGCCACCGGCGTCACGCTGTTCTCGTATTCAAGGAGTAGGATGGTAAAAGTGGTCGAAACCATATAAGGATCAGCGCGGAGAAATAATAAATCACATTCTATTCAATTCGCTCTCGATTCTCGACATACCTCGTTAATTATGTGATTGCGAAAAAACAATCTAAATTGCATTTTTTTTTCTTTAATTTTAGGTGGTGTTATTCGCCTCACCGCCTATTGGAGCGACTGGAGGTTGGAATGATCCAACCAGCGACCAATATCACATCCAGACTGATGAGGGTCCAGAACGGTACTTCAGGTATCAGACTGAGAGTGGACAGTACAGGAAGGAAAAGCGTTTGGAGGATGGCACAGTTGTAGGATCTTACGGATGGATAGACTCCGACGGTTTCCTGAGGCTCCGAGATTATATCGCCGACAATGCCGGTTATCGAATTTTGCGAACGAAAAACGTTTACGTCGGTCGTAACAGACCGATATCACAAGCCATCAAAGCTGCCAAGAAAGTTCCTTCGTCTGCCGGGGTCCTTACTAATACTAAAACGACCAATTACGTACCCCCAACAACGAATCAACTTGTTAGTACTACCACTCAGTCACCTCCTACTGTTAGCTCAACCCCTGCTACCAATTTGTACACACCCTCATCCACGCCATACCCTGCTGATGTTTACACACCTTCTTCTACTCCAGCTCCTGCTTTGTATATCCCTCCAAGCACTCCTGCTGTTAACGAACAAACACAGTACACGGCTTCTCCAACTCCGAAAACCCCTACAATCAACCCTTACGAATCCATACCAAGCACCTATCTTTCAACACCATCTCCATTTACTCCTCCAGTAACTGAAACCAATTACATACCATCCACGCAATCGCCACCGACCATCTACATCACAAGCAAACCACAATTCAATACCCAACCAACAATCGCTCCGGCCATAAACTCGAACTCTTTAGATTATTCACCTCAATACGAGCATTACGATCAAAACCCATACATTCACCATAATGGACCCACTTATCCGATCGATCGTCACGGCAACACTTACCATGGTTTGAATCAGATTGGCAATGGTTACGACCCGCAGTACCCGAGTTACGACGGCGTCTCCGTCACAAACGACGGTTTCCGCTATTACATCCCAAGGGCTTACCACGAAGAACAAAACGTCGGAGAGGACAATAAGGCCGGTAGCTTTGGGTACATAGATCCATTTGGTATTAGAAGGGTCATCTATTACAATGCAGGCGCCAACGGATTCCAGCACAGGAAGAACAATAGATACGTGGGTTTCGATGCGACACCTTACGATCCAAGGCCGTACAGCAAATAAATCTAGAATGGATTATGTATTCATTAGAATGACTGAAAAGTATGAGCGTGTGTATGAGTGTGTGTAAAAGTATGATCGTGTGGAATTAAATTATTAATCTTGCCTAATGCGCGCGTATGACTTGGAATTTTAATCACGGTGCTAAACAAAACTACTAGTAAATCCATTTTACGAATTGTATCTCAACGTAACACTTAACGTTACTCTCTAAGACACACAATATTTCGAACGTATATATTTATAATGAAATCATCACCATCTTTAAGCAATGTATAATTTTGTAGTGTTTAATGTAGAGGGGTGCCACTTAATTGGTCCTACGAATTACTGTCTATAAAAAAATAATTTATTCATTCTTTAAATCATCCTATTCACGCACATCGACAATTATAGACTCCAGTTCTAGGACCAATATCAGACACTTTCATTTCTTTGTGTAACAATTTTATTTTACAACAAACTAAAATGTACAAAGAAATGTATCCTTTTGTAAATAAATATTTATTAACTGTTCTCATTTTTTTAAATTATTTACCATTCCAAAATATTTATAAATGTTATGATAATGTCTAGTACAAATATCTCGATTTCAAATATGCAAAATAAAAGTAATTAGAACTTTCATTGATATAATAACACAGAACTCTTATAGTAATTAAAATAATTTGACAAATATTAGAAACATTAACTAAAATCGTTTTCCAAATAATAGTCCTTTAATAGTTAGTATATCTTAGAAAATATTTGAAATTTGAAAATATTAATTAAATAACTGGAATTATCAATATTTATTTATTTCATTTTTATTTACTTTTTTGTGTGACTATTTCAATAAACGTTATTATTAAAATTAAACATAATTTATTGCATACGTGCTTACATGCATATAAAATGCTATAGACCACAGTCTATCTGCTTAACCCTTCTTTATAATAACACTAAATGATTTATATATTCTTTCTCTTACTCCTGGGTACAAATTAATATTTGATTTTAATTTGTGTTAATTAATTATATAAAATAAATAAAATATTTTCTATGTATTGGCCGTTATTTTTTAAATATTTTCAATCCTTTCCATCATTACTAATGCAACGCCCTGTATATAATATTTTTTAAAAAAACTTTTTACTTCTCCTGGTAGATGTCAGTGTTTTCGAGATAATGTAGAGACAAGAGTGAATTTCGGTACACCTCTGTAAAACTGGTTACATATGTTGCATTTGAGTGTTGTCCTTATTTGAGGTCTGTTTCGCCAATTAAATGTCACTCAATTAAAACATCAGTGTGTTACTTTCTTCGCAAGTTCAGCACGAAGAAGAAAAGAACGAGACGTTTCTAATGTGCAACGAGCTGTGCACGAACAGACTGAAGTCGCCTTTACATTAACAAACATTTCCACTATCAAAATGCTATGGAAATTCTCAGTTTAAGCTCACAGTGTGTTGTTCCACTTATTTGTGCCTTGTGTTTCTCTTTGGGAGCCCCCCAGAGTTCTTAACCTTAAATCGACAAAATGCCACAACCATCACCCCCACAGGAGAGTAAATTCTCGAATTTACTCTCAGTAGAAGAAAACCAACAAATTGTTCGTTTATTAGGTCCTCGATGTCTGGTAAATATATTGATAGTATTTATCTACTTCTTGATAAAACAATTATCAAAATAACAGTTTTCCTTTATATTTAATAAATGAAAGTATTTTTAACTTTCTTTCTATTGAAGCTTTGACACAGTGTGATAATTGAAACATTCAATATTTATTTAACCTTGGTCCATTAAAAATATGATAAAAAGTAATGTAATTTAATAATTTTTAGTCATTGGCAACAACTGTGGTTCAATTGTTTGAAACACAGCCACCGATGCATGCACAATGGATAAAAAGGGAAACTGGAGTGCTTTGTTTCATAAGGGACAACTCCAAAAAGAATTACTTTTTTCGATTATATTGCTTTAAACAATATAAAATGATATGGGAACAGGAAATGTACAATGATATGGATTACATTGCAGCCTGCGCATTTTGGCATACTTTTGAGGGAGATGTAAGTACCTGGAATAAATATTTTCTAAATTCTTCATGAATTAATGATTTCTTTTAGAAATGCATGGTTTGCTTCAATTTTGCGAACGAATCAGAAGCGAGAGAAATGAAGACAATTGTGGACTCTAAGATAATGGCGAAGAGAAAACGCGCCGGTAAGAACTAATTGGCTGGAGAAAAATATTTCATTCGCCGAGGAAACTTCCATTTAATACTATTACCTTTGTAGAAAAAAAATTAAAACACAACGCTATTAACTTATCGAGCGGAGGTGGTAACGGTCCGATTGATGAAGTCCAGTTACGCAACAACAGGAACAATAATTCGCAGGTAATTAGCAAATATACAGATCCAGCAGCGAAGAAGGCGAAGCGGCGTCGAAATATTACAAAAGCAGATATTGGGAAACCATCCGAGTTCAGGCATATCTCACACGTCGGTTGGGATCCCAATAAAGGATTTGACGTTAATAGCGAAGACGCCGATCTGAACAACTTTTTGAACAAAGTAAGAACGTGATTTCCATTAGATTCCATGTAGTTTTTTTGTCGTGCACGTTCATATGTATATAGAACTTACTACGTGTTCATCAAACAAACGTTATTAATACAAGCATTTTACGCTTATATAACCGTTTCCGCTAATGTATGTTTAACTAATATTGGTGTTTGTTACTTAATTGTGTGGTGGTTGGCATATTATACGAATTAAGCGAATATAAACACTAAATTACTTTACATTGTAGGCTGGTGTATCGGAAATACAATTGAAAGATCGCGAAACTCGACAATTCATTTACGATTTTATTGTCGCAAATGGTGGTAGAGATGCAGTTTTAGAGCAGGAGTCTAAAACTAAAAAACCGCCTCCACCAACACCATCGCCGGTCCCGGGGCCTCCGGTGCCACCCCGAGGAGCAGCGCGATCTTCTCACAATGTAAGTGATTTCGAATACAAACCTTTTAATATTTCTCATTGTACAAAATGAATCATTGCTTACGAATGTCATTCTAATCTTATATATTCTTTGATTCATTGGTCAATGATTCATTAGCTACAGAAATTGTAGCTTTCTTTGGCAATCTCCTGTATTGTTATATATATGAAAAACATATTCTTATGCGTGTTGATGTATTATTATCGTTTTAGAGAGCGGCACCTCCACCGCCGCCCACGAATAACCAACCACCCCCGAGGCCTCCGCCTGCAACACCGAAAGGTCAGTAATAAAAGAATAATCTTTTCAAGATTAGTCAAAAAACTAGTTGTAGCTAACAATATCTCAATACCTCCTCCACCGCCAGGAAATGCACCACCTCCTCCTCCACCTCCACCCCCGGCCGAAGTTGCATTTACACCACCGATGCCCCCGGCTCCTCCGCCACCTACTTCTCTCGATATACCGACGGACGGAAGGTCTGCCCTATTGGAGAGCATACGAGGAGGCACGACTCTAAAGGTAATGAAAAACTAAAATATGATTTATTTTTAAAATTAATGCATTTTGATATTGCACCCTATAGCCTGTCGAGGTTGACAAAAAAGTGGACGATGCCCGAGGAGATTTGCTTAGCGAAATTAGGAAAGGTTTCCAATTGAAACCAGCTAATGTAAGTAGACTTTACAATAAAAAAAAAAGAAACTAATCGCGTCACCGTCAGCTTTCACTGCTTGTTAACGGACATAAAAATGCAGCAGACGTACAATTGCCTTGCAGATATGGAATAATCGGTGACGCGATTGATTTAGTAATGTTCAGTAATATATTCAAATATTAATGTTTCCTTTACCATCAGGAACGAGAAGTTAAACCAATTAGTCCAGCTGTTGAACAACAGCAGCAACAAAGCCATGTCGGAAATGATTTGGCTGCAGCGCTTTCAAGAGCTTTAGCTGAACGCAACAGAGTCATTCATCCAGATGACGATGACGATTCAGAATCATCGGATTCTAATGACGACGAATGGGATGCTTAGTAAATTTTACGCTTATTTTATATATATTTATATGTGTATATATATATATTATTGTATATATAAATATATATTTATACATATTTGCTTTGAAATTTACAGTATTTTTTTAGTTTTATTTATGAATATAGTAATAAAAAACGAAACGATTAATATTCGTCTGTTCATATTCTTTTGTATTTAAGTGAATTATCATTTTGTTAACTTATTTAACTGAAAATATTATTAATAAAATCTAAATATATTCTATTTAAATAATGTTTTATTGAAATTATCATAATTATTAAATTAAATATGATTAAAAAGTTATTTCCATGCTCATATTATTATCCAAAACCCAAGAACTTGTAAGAAAAATAATGTAATATTAATTGCATATGAGTCGAAGATTTGTCATATAATTTGAAGTTTAAAATATATTAAATGTTTCATTTTACCTCATTATCATCAAGAGAATAATGTACTCCTACAAAAGTCATAGTTCTTGTTTAAACTTATTGTTTACATTTTATCGTTAATATCACATTATTGTTTTGATAACTCAATTAGTCATTTCTGATACAGCATAGTGAGCTACATTATCTTATCTATAATATTCGATAACTGTGCAAAGCTATTAGAAAAGAATCAGTCAGTGCAATGTCGTCGAAAGTATTCAAACGTTGTGAAAATTTAAATACTAAAGAAAATGAGTGTCTCAGAGCACTAGTCGGCGATAAGAAAGAGGTAAGCACCTGTAAAGATTTCATCTAACAAAAAAACTAATTAATAAATTTAAAGGTATTTGCTTCATGTGTTGTGCAATTATTTCTGACAAATAAGACACATACAGATTGGATAAAACATGCAACCGGGATCCTTTGCTTCGTGAAAGACTACACTTTAGAAAGTTACTTTTTCAGATTATTTGATACGCATAAATTATGTCTAATTTGGGAACATCAAATATACCAAAACTTGCTCTATGTAAAGGAAAAACCCTTTTTCCACAGTTTCGAAGGAAATGTACGTATTATATTTTTCAAAATTATATTATTTATCTTCATGTCCTTAGAATTGCATCGTAGGATTTAACTTTGCTTTTCCGAAAGAAGCAAAGTTAATGAAAAGAGAGGTATACAAATATGAAAATATTGTTTTTGAAAAGGAGAAAAGCATTTGGAAGAAAATAATTCCAGATTCTAAAAAGAAAAATATAAATAAAAAGGATATTGGAAGTCCGATCTGTTTCGAACATCTCGCTCACACAGGTTTAAATAATTCTTTTAACATTAGCGATAATCCAATGGTCGCAGAAATACTTAAGGAAGCGGGCATAAATAATATTCATATGACAGACAAAAAAACCCGTCAAATGGTTTACAGTGTTATTATAGATAATATGGAAAACATAAAGAAACGAAAGGCTAAAGTAATAATACTCTTTTTCGCGTATTCATTTTATATTTAATTTGTCTTATAATTTAGAGAAAAGCACCGCCACCACCAACAACGCCAAGTTGTGTACCACAGAGAATGTCTCCAAAACATAATATTGCCATTCCTGAACCTCCTCCATTGGAAAATCTACCTACAATACCTATGCCTCCGCCTCCTCCATTACTAAACACAGTCTCTATACCTGCACCTCCTAAAATAAGAAATTTAAGTAATGAAGAAGAGAATGCAATACCGGCAGAAAATGATAATCGATCAGCACTATTGGAAAGCATAAGGAATGGACGAAAGCTTAAGCCAGTTGATGTAATTATAATAATATAATAACTTAAGTCTGACGACTAATATTATATTTTCAGATAAATTCCACGCCCAAGACCAGCATAGACGACACCGACAGATCTAATATGATAAAGATTTTGATGGATGTCTTGTCTAAGAGGGAAAAGGCTTTACAATCAAGCAGTGACGAGTCGAATTCTGAAGATGACTGTGAATGGGATGAATAATTAAACACATTAAATGAACGAATTCAATTTATTATAATAGTTTAATAATATATAGAAAATGTTTTATGAAAAGGTAATTTCATTGTTAATATCTCTTGGGCGTGTTTTCTTCGGAAATCCCACAAGAAATGATCTATCAAAATACTATTTATGATCTTATCCTTATCAATTTTCTTTATAGCTACTTCTTTTAATAATTCTACTGCATGTATAGAGCACCCTCTGATCTCTACTTCCATTTCATCTCCATTTTCTAATATATTGCCTGTATTCAATTTTTCTAATAATTCCTTGCTATATTCTAGAACATTATAATATAACAAAGTTTGAGGTACTCGATAATCAGCAAACATTGTGATCTCTTCAATATCATTAAAGTGACCAATACCATTTCCAAGGTAACATGCCCAAATATCTCCAATTAAAATTTGTGCTCTTTTGAGTATGGACACATTTTTCCCCTTGAATGTGGCTTGATCTCTGAAGCAAGGAAAATTATCAACTACTATTTTAAGCAAGATAGCAGCACTTTTATCAGCTTTCTTTACAACATTTTCAAAAGATCCTTCAAAATTCTTGAGCAGTGCTTCACCAACTTCATGCAAACATCTCAACCTTTCCTTAAATAGAGGAATATGAACATCATTATCACTGCGCAATACTTTAGACAGTTGTTCTTCAGTTATTGTGGAATAGAATTTAGGATTTGATATATCAATGCCCTCTTTCATTGCCCGGTTGATAGCTGCACATAATGCATAATAGCCTGTATATCCATCCACTTTCCATCCTTCCTCATTCTCACGGGACCAGAAACAAAAATTTAATGTATCTACCACAAATATCCAATCCAAAGCAAATGGATCATTGGCAGTTGGGTGTACAGCTGTTTGACCAAAATTCTCTACAGATAATTCTCCTGAATTGATAACTTTCGCCAACTAAAATTCAAATATTCTAATTATCAATCACTTATTAGAGGTTATAAAAACTTACTTCAGCTCCGAACTTTTCCACACCTTCCGGCAATATTTTTATATGTTCTGCATTAGCAGATATAAATTTTCCGGATTCTCGTGGATTGGAAAACATTTTCAACCAAAGATAATGTTCAAGTAATTCCTTTAGTTGCTAATTGAAAATCGCCGATTTTCAAGGATTAACCAATATCTTTTAAATAGTCTACAAAGTAGAATAGTTTAAAACATAAAAGTAGATAAAATGTTTTATAAGAAAGAATAGTCGAATTATGTTGTGATTATTACAGATATATTTCATTCAAATTTAACATAATTCCTCATATAATTTTTAAGTCCATGGTAAAAAATTACAAAACATAATGGTTCCAACATAAAAGTAACATAGATAATAATACTTTATAAATCTCTTATTGACTTGATTGGAAAACCAATAAATTACAGGCGATGCTGAACAAAGCATTCTTGTCGTTACCTGTATATGAACAAATATAATACAGAATATAGTCAAAGCCAGTGCATGCAAAATGCAAGGAAAAGCAAAATCGATTTCAAATTTACTTTCGACTGCATATTTTTGTCGACGCAAGTAATTATTGCCGCCGAAATTTCTTAATAGGAATTTAACGAACATGCTATGATGGACTATGTAGTGCCAATTATATTTGAAAAAGTAATAACTTTGAAGTAATATTAGACAAATAATTGGTAAAGCTAACAAGAAGTTTGGAATTTGCTTCAATTGATAATATTTGAAGAAACCGACATTCCAATATTTATCCTGAACGTAAGAATATGGAATTGGCAGCAATTTGTAATTACACCAAGTTTGTTGATATATCTCATTTTGGCCAGGTAAAATTATACCATTTACCATTGCATGGAAATAATCTTTGCTGGCAAATGTGAGATGAATGTATTACAAAATAAGCTATGACAATAAAACTGAAAACTAACAAAAGGTATCAAACATATTATTGTACTTAATATTAATGTGATTGCATTCTGAATGGTAATTCTTTCAGTAGTGATCGAAAAATAATAAATTAGAAATCCAACGTTTAAAATCCCATTTGAACGAGTTACTCCACTCAGTGCTATAAAAAATATAGCTTTCATCAAATATCTTTTATCATTTCTGTAGTGAAATCTAAGCAAATTCTCGATGGTTTTAAACGTTAAATATGCAAATAAGCTTTCTGTGTATGGTGCAGTGAAAAATATAGAAGCTGGATTGTAACAAAACAATTTTGCACATTTGTATGCAAACTTGTCATTGACTATCAATCCTGTTAACTGATATAATGCTAAAGCTGCTTGTACAAAAAAGAATACATTTAAAACTATGTATACTAATAGAGTCAGAGAGTCTATGGATAATAAATCAAATGTAAAATAGGAAAGAATATTTACGATTATTTTACAAATACCAGGGAGCAATGGAAAGAAAGCTAAGGTATTTTCATAAGTGTATCCATTAATAGCTAAATGCATGAAATACTGGGCATCCCATCTCACAAATCCCTCAAGCAAAGTGTTAGTTGCTTTATCTAATATAGTCTTATTAGTAGAATGGACATCTTTTGGATATACAAAGACGTTTGCTTCATGATCTGGTATTAGTATGTTCCCCAGAAATTGTAAAACTATTAAGAGTATTCGACTAAATATGGCCCTTTTTATCAAATTTCTTCGATTCTTTTCCATTTGATATAGCTCTAAAATAAAAGGGTTACATTTGACGGGTTTTAAGCAAATATCATTCAATTACCTTCGTTCAAGACGTAAAATTAATAATATCAGGATTACAGGTTATATTATTGTTTACATGTTCATAACAAATTTTATTATGCAACCAGTAATACATGTTTGATTTTTTTATTATTATGTACATATAGAATGCAATAAAAATTCATATTATAAGTTCAAATTATTTAGTTTTCTTATGACATTTTAATTCAGCAATTCCGAATGGACACAACTCATTATTTAAACAGGTTGCACATTGTGGTTTCTTTGGCTGACAAATCTGTTGTCCAAAGCCAACCAATAAATGATTTACTTCACTCCATAATTCTTTTGGCAGCCAACCTTCCAGTTCATTCCTAGTTTCTTCAGGTGTTTTTGTATTGACCCATTTTAATCTATTGGAAATCCTATGCACATGTGTATCCACTCCTATTCCAGTCACTTCCCCCCATGCTGTTTTCATACAGAGATGAGCCATTTTTGGACCAACCCCTTTTAACTTGCATAAATCTTTGACTGTCTTTGGTATGTCTCCATTGAATTGGTCAACAATCATCTGAGATGTCTCTTTAATATATTTCACTTTACTTTTCCAAAATCCAACTGGATAAATCAATTTACCCAAGTCCTCATCAGATGTATTGATAATGTTTTTAACAGTACACCCATGCTGATTTAACCTTTGCATCGCTGCATGAGTTATTTCATCCTTTGTTTGACTGCTTAACATCAAAGACAATAATGCCTGATATCTTTGGTCTATTGGATTTGCTTCCTCATCCATACATTGGTCACATCCCATAGAATCCACTGGTGCATTATGGTCTTTTCTCATCTCTCTCAAATTATTTAACACTATTTTCCAGTTTTTTGGAAAATTTTCTTCATTTTTGTATACACCATCAACTTCAGTTTTAACAGCAACATCATCAAATTCTTTCTTAATAACTTTTGACTCTTTCACTGCTTCCTCTTTCTTTATTTTTACTGGTGGAATAACATCATCATACTCAATTTTAAGATGATTGATTTTTGTTTTCCTAGAATTCTCACTTGATGTTCCAGCTCTGCTCAGTTTTGGTTTAGATTCCAATTTGAAGTTATCCAGCTTTGAATTGCCTGCAGTTTTTTCTTCTTTGCATTTAATGGCATTTGATCTAGTTCGTGTTTCTCTTTTACTTCCATCAATTTTCGTAATTCGCTTCATGATTATTAATATGTTTGAATTCCGAAGCTTAAAGAAACACATATAACTTTGACAGTTATCAAGAATTTGAGGAATATCGGAATTATCATACGTTGAAATAAATTAGATATGCAACCAAACAAATATGTAAGTATTGGGTGTTGATAAAAATCATTTTAAACTGCAGTAAATATTTATTAGAGTAATAGTCTATTCATCTTTTTATTGTTATATTTTTAANNATTGACTGGCTACATACACTGTGAGGTGTGAGCTAAGTGCACACCTCCACTCTATTATAGAGTGGAGGAATCAGAACAGAACAGGTTTATTAGAGTAAAAAATATTATTTTTATTTTATTATGTGTACAATTACACATTATCTAATGCATCATAGAGTAACTTTGTTATTTGTCTCTGCACAGCCATTTGAGCTTTTGAGTTTTTAATCATATGTAAACTAGATCCTACAAAATTACAAAACGCCTGAATCTGCTTTGTACATTCAGGATTATCAATGTCCACATTTACATGTTGCTTTTGCTGATCATTATTCAAATTCATATGTAAATTATCATCAACTGAAGGCATGGAGATGTCCACATTTACATGTTGCTTTTGTTGATCATTATTTAAATTCACATGTAAATTATCATCAGCTGGAGGCATGATGATGTCCACATTTACATGTTGTTTTGGCTCATCATTATTTGAATTCACATCTAAATTATCATCAGCTGGAGGAATGAAGATCTTCGGAGATGTACAACTAATTGACTCAGGGGAATCTTGAAATTCCATATTAACTACACTGTTATTAAATAATTCATGTTTATCATCATCCTTGTGTTCCTCATCTGGAGTACATGAGTTATTAATCATTTGTATAAGTACATTTGATTGCATTATATCATCATTAATTTCAATTATCTCTTCAGTCTTCAATTCAACCTAAGTGAACATTGCTATCATTAATTATATATATTATTGTATTAATAATCACTTACTTCTGTTGTAGTTTCCAAAGGCTTATTGTTGTCTGTCTTTATTTCTACCTAAGCGAACATTACAATCAATAATTATATATATTATTGTATTAATAATTACTTACTGCTGGTGTAGTTTCTGAAGGCTTATTGTTATTGGTCTTCCGTTCCCTCAAAATATTTGGTTTATGTCGACTGTTATTGGTTAAAATTCGTCCATTTGTGGTTTTCAAGACTTGCCAATTAGGAATTGGGTCAGCCATAAACAATAACCTATCATAGTACCATAAATTTGGGCTGTAAGACTATTCAATTTGTTGAAATAATTATTTTAAACTTAGTAATAATTACCTCAGCTCCATTTAGAACAAGTGCGGAAAATTTGCGGTGCTCCCCTATGAAAGTACTCCTCAAAGTCGTTGCCTTCATTTTCAATTCCTGAATGCTGACATTTGGCAGAAGATGTTGTAGTTTTTCGTAGATTGCTTCGAAAGCTTTGCGCCTTGCAAATTTATTCCTATAATTCAAATCTTTTGTGGAGTACAAACATGGATATTCTTTGTAAGCTTCAATTAATGAAAGTACAGCGCTTTTAGGCCAAGACATTTTTAATTTCCACTATAGAACTAATACAATTCGCATATAGATTTATATTTTACTAACAGTAAGTTAGGTTACAACCGTTAACACCATCCAACTGCACGATTCTGCGCAGATACTTTCGAAATATTGTATATGAAATTTGGATTTTTCTTATATTCACTATGATACAAAGAAACTTTGTACTTTTATATGTATATTGTTTATATTTAAATTATGTATTTCTGAATTAAATAATGTATTCAAAATTTTATTCATACATTTCGTAATTTAAGAAAAGAAAAGTTAGTTAAGATAATTATCGCAGTTCTGGTATGCGCATGGTCACGTAAGTGGAATTTTACTGAATCTTGATGTCACGTTATTGGTTGTTGATTGGTTGTTTTGGTACTTAAGTTAAGTCTAGTTGTCAGAATTTCATTAAACCAACTTACCTCGGTATACGATATGTGTAACTTTACAATAAAATTTATGTTATATAAAAGAAAATAATGTGATAATCTAAATACCTATAGTATTTTTGTGTCTATGTTAAAAAGTGTTTGTAAAAATGTTGTTAATTAAGCCTAAATTTGTTGAAAAGTGTATATCCAGAAGGTTCTTTTCTGATGGCAATGTTATTAAACCATTTGAATCAATACCAGGTCCAAAATCACTTCCAATTTTGGGAACTTTACATAAATATTTACCATACTTTGGTAAGTCTTTTTTTTAAATAAAAAGATTCACTTAATTAATGTGTTTATTTAGGACCATACCACTTTGACCGCTTGCACAAAAATGGTTTAAAAAAACTCAACAAATTTGGACCAATTGTCAGAGAAGAAATTGTACCTGGTGTATTCCTTGTTTGGCTGTTTAAACCTGAAGATATTGAAACATTATTCAGAGTTGAAGGAAAATATCCTCAACGGAGAAGCCACTTGGCTTTAGAGAAATACAGACTGGATAGGCCAAATGTGTATAACACTGGTGGATTGTTGCCAACGTACATATATATTAATCTAAATATCTATAATGCAATTACTTATATTAATATTTTAGAAATGGACCAGAGTGGTGGAGATTGAGAAGAGTCTTTCAAAAAGGTCTAAGTAGTCCAAGTGCTGTGCAGAATTTTTTGGCTGGTACCAATGATGTCATGCATTTGTGGTTAAGGAGGATCAATGATCTAAAATCAACAGAAAAATATGATTATTTGCCAGAACTATCAAGACTTTTCTTAGAATGTATGTTTTTGTTTATCTAACTGATAAATTTTACATTAATATTTGTTTTTATAGTGACTTGTCTAGCAACTCTTGATATTCGGTTAGACAGTTTCTCTTATCAAGAGTTAAAATCCAATTCCAGATCATCAAAATTAATGCAAGCTGCACTTAACACAAATAAATGCGTTTTAAAGACAGACAATGGTCTTCAAATATGGAAGAAAATCGACACCCCCTTGTATAGGAAATTGAAAAGGTCGCAAAAATATATGGAAGAGTGCGTATTTGTTTTATTACCAAATCAAATAAATAATCATTTCGTTTTTAGAGTTGCTATTGATTTGTTATCCTTAAAAATGTCTCTATTTAATGATGGTTCAAGAAATACTCCTACATTATTACAAAGTTATTTATCATCTCCTGAATTGGATTTTAAAGACATTATTGGGATGGTGTGTGATTTTCTGCTTGCTGGTATAGATACTGTAAGTGTAATATTGAGTATTACTACTAAATCTAATATGTGGATATTTTTTAGACAACTTATTCCTCATGTTTCCTATTATATCATATAGCTAAGAACTCTCCTGTTCAGTGTTTGTTATATGAAGAAGCTAAAAAGTTATTGCCGACAACCAATAGTCCAGTCACTATGGAAGTTTTAGCTGAAGCTCACTATGCAAAGGCTGTGCTGAAAGAGTCATTAAGATTAAGACCAATTTCCATTGGAATTGGAAGAGTATTAGAGGATGACGCTGAATTTTCGAATTATCATGTACCGAAAGGGGTATACTTTACCAGAGCTAAATATAAGTAAAAACATAATCATATATTTCTTTGTAGACGGTCGTTGTAAGCCAGAATCAAGTGTCATGTCGTCTAGAGCAGTACTTCCCTACTCCGCATGAGTTCAAACCCGAAAGATGGTTGAAAGATCATCCTCTTTATATGAAACCTCATCCATATTTGCTACTACCTTTTGGTCATGGACCAAGGGCTTGTATCGCAAGACGTATGGCCGAGCAAAATATGCTCGTCCTGATGTTGAAAGTAATGTTATAAACTATAATTGATAAATTTGATTCGTAAACATACATATATTTCAGTTAATAAGGAATTACAAAATTCAATGGAGAGGAAACATCTTGGATTCCAGATCGCTGTTAATCAATAAACCGGACGGTCCAATTAACTTGAAATTTACTAAGAGGGAATAGAATGTTCTCTATCTTTTTTAATTGAAATGCTGTGCATTTTTAAATCCAATTGTTATATTTAAAAAAAAAACTTTATATTCATTTTTTATTCAAACAAATTTTATTTTTTATATATTAAACGCATAAGATCTTAAAATGCTTATTAATTCTTACATATTATTTAGTTTTCATTAATCTTAATGAAATATTTGGATTGAATATACAAAGTGATTGCATGTAAATAATAAAATGTATATACTACACATCGTGTTATATAAATGCTAATATGAGCTAATGTTCTCTTGTATCACATTCTGATTTGTCCTGTCCTGATATGTCATGTTTTGCGCTGATGAGTTCTGTTTGGCCCGGTAACCTGAATATTAGCATTCATATAAAAACAAATATTAATTGATATTAAAATTAAAATAAATCTTCATATTCTGAAATAAATACACAAATAAAATATAAATCGCAATTGCTTCTGTATATAGATTAAAACTGCACATAAATGAAATGTTAAATTGAGAATTCCGATAATTAATTTCCTCCAATTACGTTTATTTATAGCAATCAAGGATAAAGCAACTATAATGGACAATTACATAAGTTCACGTTTACTTAATTTACGTTCATGGGAAAATGAATATTTCAAAGAATAAATACGTAGTATTAATAAACCAATCACAGGAAAGACATTTTTCATACAATTGAGAATACTTGATAGATGTACACATTTTAGCGTTTTCTATTTACATGATTATCAGAGAAATACCGAGTTTCGTAATAGAGCCGCTTCTGTGTTTTTCTCTGAGTAATAAAGTGGGAGTATTTAGAAAGAACATCACTGATAGACGGAATTTCATTAACGTCATCAAGATCGTGTATGATAATTTTATTTTACAAACTAATATACAATTCATACATAATTGCCGCCCCAAAAGGTTGACGCTTAGTCCTGACATTATTTAGTGAAATTGCATGAATGTGAAATCCCCATTTTAATTTGTTGTTATTCATGCAAATTTACAATAAGGTGTTAATATTTTTATGTCATCAATAAATCCACTGACCTTGTATATTCATTATCAATGAACCAATAATAATATGATAGAAATGTTTGGTAACTACAGAGGGTTACTGATCCTTTTGAATTTAGTCATCGTGGAAGTTTGTGGTTTGATATTGTAGCGTTGCTTTTATAGTAAACGCACTTACATATACAATAATCTTAATTTTATAAAATATATTTTATTCTCTTAAAGTATACTATAAATCAGTGCCCTCGTCTCAAGGAACCAAAAGTGCAAAATCTTTAATTTGCGCCCCACTTTCCTCAATAAAACTATATTGATATTGGCGCGCATTCGCACTCCTCTTGTTGTGGCGCTACTTTGTGGTCGACAACTCTTCATTTGAATTATCCTCTCATTTCTACTTTCCAATTTTACATTATTTATTAACAAATCTATAACACGTACATTACTAAAAAAAAGGTAGCAGATTTATTTAGACGCATATTTATTATAGAAAAATTACTGTGCTTTAGTTACTTTATATAATTTTCAGAAAAACTTATTTTTTTTTTAAATATTAATTATAATTTAACACAATTAAACCGCGCAGAAAACTACCAATAAGCATGCAAATATATTCAACGAATTATTTTTAAATATGCGTTGGCGTTCCATTCAAAAAAAGTCCCTATTATTTATAGAACATCAGCCGAATGATCAGACAAACTAAAGTCACCACTTTTACTAATTTTGTAAATGCTTACATTCTATTTTTACTTAAAACCTTTGAAAATGTTGTTTTCAAGTCTATTAAATGTTTGAATACTTTACGTCTACCCCAACTGACGATTATTTAATTTTTGTGTATTTTTTATATATCTATTCTATTCGCTTTGATTATCATAGAACAACATATGTATTAATTCAGTTAATTATTAATTTTTTTTATAACAAATCCTTTTAATTATTTATTTAACAATTCGATAAATGACGTAAATCTATTTATGACCTTTAAATTCTTGATTACATATACAAAAGACTTTCTTTCCAAATAAATCTTGCTTAAAAGAGAGTCCTTGACAACAATTCAGTTAGCTGAATTCCTTGGAATTTTCCTGTTATGTCCTTAAAGTAGCTTATTTATATGAGTTTATATCTTTTCAACAGAAGATTTTGGCAAAGTCCCAGTTTTGTTATTTTGATTTCTTGTTTTCGATTATAGAATAAAATTGAAGGAAATAATAATTAACATAATTGATTGTACATATGTTATGATTTCTTTCAAAATCATTTTCAGGAAAGTTTATTTTTAATTAAAAACTCAACTCCGACATTTAATTTCTGTAAAAATTGAACATATTTTATTTTATTTTTCCCACAGTAATTTAAATTTACTAACAACAATTATGAAACTATACTATAACAAAATAAACATTTCAAATTATTTTTAATATTTTATTATTGTCTCGAAAATATCATTATTTCCATTGACATAATCTTCAGGAAATACACTTTATTAAAAGCAACTAAAAATTATCTAAATTTAAAAGGCAATTGGCTTCTACTTCTCATAATATGAATTGTCGTATTCCTAGAGTTTTTATTCTTTTAGATTTTCGGGAATATGAAATTCCTAAGAAACCTTCCACGTGTATTAGCGCACGGTTACTTGGAAATGCCAGAGCCCTATCGATTTTCTTTAACTGTATTATAATAATAAAGACCTTTCAAATAACAGAAAAATCTATACAATATTTATTTAATTAGAGGAAACGTCTTTTGTTTTCTGATATTATAATTACAAAAAAGATAATTTTCATAATATTTATTTAGAGAAATGTTTTTGATGTACTTTTTTGCATAATAATTATATATTATTTATTGTATGAAAATATTAAGTTAATGGTCTATGACCCTAGATTTGGGATGGGGAAAACAAGTGGTATGTTTGCCTAGTAAACATAATTGCGCAATAAATTTGCGTAAAGTTGCGTATTTCCCCGGTCAGAAAGGCCGATCTCGACTAATGAGAGAGAGCCGCCTCCAAAAGGCGTAAAGGAGAGAGGAGAGGAACGGACGGAAACGGTAGGGAATTGGATGGAAATCCCCTGGCGATTCTCTCGTCTTGTGGATTTCGCCGAACTGGTTTTTACAGTTGCGTGTGTGCTCTAGCTTCTAAAGGAGTTTCATGTCTGCTTGGAGTTCAGTCTGGTTGAGTCGCTCGAAACGAACATACCACCTACATACATACATTAGTGCAAGTTTATAAATAAATTGTTAATTTTATATTGAGTTGTGGTGCAGTTGTGGAGCGTGAGGTGAAATGAATCAGAATCCTACAGCCGATTGGGTAGAAAAACACGCCGAAAACAATCCTCTGATCGAGATGAACCTAATGGGCAACAAACCACCGATCGCCGGTCCAGAGATTGACGATCTGGATGAATCGCAAACATCGGTAGCCCCTTATCCCGGTATAGACGATGGTTTCTTCGATAAGCCCGAGGAGATCCCGGAGATTCACAACAGATTCGGTGAAGACGAGGCCGATGCCAAAGTACCGAATGGTGATGCTCTTCCGAATAACATACCACCGAGCCATCCAAGGTCTCACCATCCATTCCCACATGCCCCGGGTTACATTCCCTACGATAGAAGAACCGAGTACGACATGGGAGGCTTTTCTGAGCTGGATAGCATCCCAGACGTAAACGTTTATCAACACAAAAAGACCTTGGCACAAGGAATGATGGATTTGGCTCTGTTTTCCGCGAATGCAAATCAACTGCGCTACATCATCGAGAGCTACGCAAGACACCCATATTTCTATCCAAGCGTCATCATGATTTCAATAAGCCTATTGCTACAGGTAAATTTATTCAACCTTCGCATCCTCAAAATAAACATTTAAAAAAAACATCCATTTCCTGAATAACAACAAAGAAATTGTCTCTTATCAGGCGATCACGCAATGTTTATTTTTATTTCCACGCATTCAGTTTTAATTGCAACTAGCAGCATACCGTCATCATCGTGCATCATTATCACATGGAGACTTAATCATTTGTGTTTATTGTTCTAGGTCGGAATTGGAGTGGGCTTAATTTGGAATGCGCGGTACAACGTCAAAGACAAGAAAGAGATCTGCGTTGCCAATAAAATCAATAATTATACAGTCATCGGCATCTTCTTGGTCACAACGATAAACGTCTTTATCTCAGCTTTCGGCGTTGCTCCAGCAGCTACTACAGCTACAACTACCACATGATCAACGCTTCCCTTTTTTTATTTTCAACATTTGTGATATTAGTTTTGCTTTAATCGATCATTTTTTATATACATTCATTTATATTAGTAGAGAGTTTTTAAGGCTTCGCTTACAATCATTATTATTATAATTCACAGAAAACCTCATTATTCATGACACAAAGAATGCGGAAATGCATTTATCGTTATTCATTTCCAGTCGGATGGATGATTCACTGATCTGGATGGTAGATTGCATTTGAGATTTTAATTTTTCATACAATTATTTATAAAGTTGAATAT